GGTCTAAAATATTTAGTAGCCCAGATAATGACCAACATTTCCTTTTCGACTGTCGAAAGTATTTTGCTCTTCCTATTCTATCTAGTACCTCGTTTATATTTGGCATTGGATATTTATCTTTAATTGTCTTCTCATTAAGTTTCCTATAATCTACTACAAGTCTCCATTTCTCTTTGTTCGAAGCGTCCATCTTTGTTGAGACCAAAAAGACTGGAGCACTCCATGGGCTGTGGCTTTGTTTGATAACTTTCTGTTCTAACATTTCGTTTATTTGTCTTCGCACTTTCTGTGATTCAATGTGGCTGTACCTAAAAGGTTTAGTATATATTGGATTTTCGTCCGTTAGTTTAATTTTATGTTTTACAAGATTCGTAAAAGTAAGAGGGTCGCTTTGTTGATAGAAAAGATTGGGGAATTTCTTTGTTAGTTTTTTAAGTTCTGTCTTTTCTTCGTCGTTTAGATGGTCTGTCCTTAAGAGTTCGAAGCTATTTGAGTTGTAACTTTTCCCTTTACTTATATAATCAAGTGTCGGTATAGCTTCCAAATAATCAGATGGGGCGAATTCATTCACCTTTATTCGAGAATCTACAAATAGGTTTTGTTTTCCTTCAGAATAGTTAGCGATTTCCATTAAACTATATCCGTCTTTTGCTTGACATAAGCCCCCGTTTATGACTAAGTCTTTGCTTACGTCAATTTTGTCACACAAAAATGTGCCATCGGTGACAGTAACTGGTAATCGAACAAGAGTTTTCGACTCCTCGTCGATTACATGTACTCCGGTGGCCACATTCTGTTCTTGATATAATTTCAGGTTGCCAACTATTGGTTGAAGTTGTAATTTTGGAATATCAACAACTGCGTTAATCTGTTGTAAGGTATCCATTCCTATAAGTACCTGGAAGAAATCGTGGAAATGGAATATAAACATATCGAATTTTCTTTCTTCATTCGAATTGTTAAAAGGTTTGACTTCTGTTTTCTTTTCAATAAAATGGACTTTCAGTACTCTTTTAATTGGAATAGGGGTATTGAGTTTTCTTTGATCATTTTGCGGAATTATCAAGGGGTCTATGAAGGACATAGTTGCCCCAGTGTCTATTAAGAATTTCAATGGTGTGTCATCTTTGAATGGAGTTAGGACAATGTAAGGAAGTAGGCACCCATGGCTCACTTGGTTTAAGTATCCTGTTTGGACTTTGAGGCTCTGTCCAAAAATTTGAATCTTCATCAATATTATGTACTTGATTATTCTCTTGTTTTTCCTGTTGTTTCTTTCCCTAGACTGATAATTATTATGTATGTTTCTTTCCTGTATTGGCCAATCGTATGCTTCTTGCAGATTGGTTGGCTTCATAGCCCTCATCGTCCCCCCTAGTTGGCCTCTCATACCCATTAAGAAGGTGTTCAAGCAAGTTCCCGCAAATATCGATTTTTTTGCTCTAGCTAGGTTAGGGTCGGTTTCCTTAGTGTCAATCAGTTTGAAAAAGAGAGTTTTTATTTCTGTGATCTGATCGAACAACTTTTGAAATGGCAATTGTTTATGTATCAGTCCGTGAAGTTCGATGGAAAGAGTATGTTCATCGCTTTTGTCGGAACAATGTAAAATTAATGCCTCTATAATTTCATCCCAATTAAGGCCAGCCTCTGAAGCCGTTAGTACATCTTTGGCTTTTCCTACTATTTTGTTTTTTATAGACCGTAGCAAAAATTGCCTGTACGGCGTCTGGTCTGTCCCCCTTATGAGCATCAAAATTTCTTCTACGTTATTAATAAAATCACTTAGTAACTTCGAGTCCCCATTATATTCCGGTAAAAATTTTATAGCGTCTGGAATGCGTAAGGAAGCATAAACTTCGGCTGAATTAATGCTGGTGTTAACCGTTGACGTGTCTGAGGAACTCATACTGACAGATGGAGGTTGTTAAATTATCCGATAAGTAATAATAGGATCTTCCCTAATATCTGGCAAACTTGCACTCTGTCTAGTTTTGATTCTGCTACTTGGAAGTATATTCTTTACTTTACTGAGTTTTGACATCTACTCTTTACTTTCTTATTTCGGTAATTTCTTAGTATTAAACTTATCGCTTACGTATTAAAGTTTACTTATATTGTATTTGTTGATTTTTTGTGTGCAGGTGAAGAATGTCTGAAAAAATGTTGACTTTAGTTTAATGGAATAGCAGTGTGGGCAAAATGATGTGTAATTGTTTGTCTATATAAATACTTCCCTGCAGTTCCACGTTTGAGTTAAGCGCCCAATCATCACGAAGCCGACTGCGACGTCAGCAGAGCAGCCAGCGACGCCGGCAGAGCTGAGCGCAACGGCAGCAAAGCGACGCGCTCTCAGTCGGGTCCGCAAAGAGAACGCACAAAAAGTAATTTTGGGCTCTCCCTCTCTCGCCATGTCTCAGACGGAAAAGTGCGTGTGAAGGGAAGGAGGCCCAGAAACTAAAATATATAGACTATTGTGCACCCTTGCCTTTTGAATAATGCGACATTTGTTCGTAAATGATAAAACAACCATTTAAAATAATAGGTTTCTGTCGGATATGTCTATAAATACCCTGCTTTTATGTGCAAGATGCATAGACCAAACGGGACATGCCTAAAAAACAGAACAACAACGGAATAGCGGAACCGTTGTTGTTGTTGCTTGTTGTTTTTCTGGAAGGCACGCGACTTTTTTCGTCTTTTTCACTTGGGTTTACTTATGTGAAGGAGTTAGAATTGCGCGCAATTAAGGTAGTTAAATAAAATAAACCAGTGGTTTAAAAGTGATACCTATACGATTCCCAGGTAAGTCTGTCGCAGACCAATATTTATTTAATCAGTGAGAGTAAAAACATGTTAAAGTATATTGAAAAAATGGAAAATAGAAGATTCCCAAAAAAACACGTGGCGGAAAAAAAATAGCTGTGAAAAATATTAATTTTTGACGTGAAAAACAACAAACGATGCATATAAATAAACAAATGAATGAATCTGTGAAAAAATTTGAAAATCTTATTGAGTGCTAAGTTCCTAGGGACCAAACATAAGAGATGTTTGTTTTTATAACTTATGATTTTTTGTATTAATAACATTAAAGCACAATTTTTATTTTTGTGTAAGTAAACAAACATGGCTATTTAAATAAAAATCTCAAACATCTCTAATTTTCCGTCCCTAGAAAAAAGGTATTTTTTCCGCATCTGCAAAATAAATAAATGAAAAGGCGCTGCAGAAGGCAATGCGGTGCGTTAAAATCTTGAGTTGTACCAAAAAAAAAGGCAACGCCGGCACCAGATGCTGAGAAGGAGGTGACAGCGACCCCGATAACACCGGAAACCCCCGAGCTCAAATTTTAAAATAAACAAATAAAAATAAAAATTACAACTTAAATTTTATTTGCTGCTAAGCGCTCACCGTGTGCTGAATGTGCGCTTTTTCGCTGCTTGAATGAGCGCTCAACATGTGCTGAATGTGTGCTTTTCCGCTGCTTAATCGAGAGCTCAACGTGTGCTGATTGTGTGCTTTTTCCGCTGCTTAATCGAGCGCTCAACATGTGCTGAACGTGTGCTTTTTTTGCTGCTCAAAAAAGAGCTCAAAAAAGCGCTCAATGCGTGCTAGTTTTTGTGAACCCTAGGACATGCCTATGTTAATTTAAGCACTCAATTCCATACAAATTGTGCGCTCATTGAGCGCTCAGTGATGAACATTTTGCAGTGATTCAGTGCTCAATAAGCGCTGAATGGTACTGCAGGGTTAGAATTACGAACATTGTATTTAGCTGAATAAGACATTTTCGGGCAGCGAGGGTATACATAAACCCAAGCTGAGTAATAAACTTTACTCTTGATTTTAAACTCAAACGGAGCAGCAGCATTCTTTGTTTCTACTGGAACCAACCAAATATTTAACATTAACGATCACCACAAACTTAACTGGCGCAGTCGATCGGCCTTCCAGGATCAGGAGACCAGAAGGGAGAACACACAGGAACATGAAGATAATTTTGGTGTAAGAATATATACGTAAATACACCAAAAAGAAATATAAAAAGTGTGGAGGTGAAAAGAAAAATAATAATATGGATAGCAAAATACAACAGTGATGGTGCAATACACAAAAAAAAATGGAAATAAAAATATATATAAAAATATATAAAGTAAAGTTTTCCGTTTGTTCAGTGCGAACACGGAAATAACAAAGATGAATAAATATTTAAATGCAAACAACCCAAAAAGTTCAGGGCGAACTTAGTGCAATGTTCAAAAAGTGAATGGTAAATCATCTCTACAATTATTTTGTGATGAAAGCCAAATCAAATAAAAATTTTAAAAACAAAGAGGCATTAGAATAAACAGGTGAAATTTAGATGAAATTCGACACTTACACTGTCCGACTACCCTACGTCGAGGGAACACACACACACACCAACATAACACTCACACGAATTGCAACCCTGCAGTACCGTTCAGCGCTTATTGAGCACTCAATCACTGCAAAAAGCTCATCACTGAGCGCTCAATGAGCGCACAATTTGTATGGAACTAAGTGCTTAAATTAACATAGGCATGTCCTAGGGTTCATCAGTGCTCATAAAATAGCACGCATTGAGCGCTTTTTTGAGCTCCCTTTTGAGCGCTTTATTGAGCAGCAGAAAAAGCACACGTTCAGCACATGTTGAGCGCTCGATTAAGCAGCGGAAAAAGCACACATTCAGCACATGTTGAGCGCTCATTCAAGCAGCGAAAAAGCGCACATTCAGCACACGTTGAGCGCTCATTCAAGCAGCGAAAAAGCGCACATTCAGCACACGTTGAGCGCTTAGCAGCAAATAAAATTTCAGTTGTAATTTTTATTTTTATTTGTTTATTTTAAAATTTGAGCTCGGGGGTTTCCGGTGTTATCGGGGTCGCTGGCACCTCCTTCTCAGCATCTGGTGCCGGCGTTGCCTTTTTTTTGGTACAACTCAAGTTTTTAACGCACCGCATTGCCTTCTGCAGCGCCTTTTCGGGAGGCTCCGAGGGATCCACCAGGGCGATTGCATCTAGTATTAGAAAAAAATTAGTTTTAAAAATAAAACAAGACGAGAATAAAAACGAGTGACCGAAAGTAATCGTTATTTGTAAGATTTATTAATAATAAATTAAATGTTATCTTTGGCATTCAATGTAAAAATCTCAGAAGTCTTTTAAAAATTAAACTTACAAACAATAGTTACTTTCAGCCTCAATAAAAACTTACTTAATAAAGCGCGGACGAAATGTGGGTAGTCTGAGCTTCTTCTTGTTTTGCCCCCCTCCAAGTTGTGGGACAGAACAAGTTCCTCGGATAATATGCTTAAGATGTAACGACTTGGCCTTCCATTTTTTTTATAGATTTACCATTAGCCTTGTCTAAAAATATAAGAAAATTAAAAAAATATCGAGAAGAAATTTGCAAACTTTTGTTTTCGGTCACTTGATTTATTTTATTTTGTTGTAAAAAATTATTCATGTATTTTTTTATTATTTATTAAATCATTTATTTATTTTGCAGATGCGGAAAAAAAAACCAGTTTTCCAGGGACGGAAAATTAGAGATGTTTGAAATTTTTATTTAAATAGCCATGTTTGATAACTTACACAAAAAAAAAATTGTGCTTTAATGTTATTAATACAAAAATACATAAGTAATAAAAACATAACATCTCTTATTTTTGGTCCCTAGGAACTTAGCACTCAATAAGATTTTCAAATTTTTTCACAGATTCATTCATTTGTTTATTTATATGCATCATTAGTTGTTTTTCACGTCAAAAATTAATATTTTTCAAAGCTATTTTTTTCCGCCACGTGTTTTTTTGGGAATCTTGTATTTTCCATTTTTTTAATATACATTAACTTGTTTTAACTCTCACTGATTAAATAAATATTGGTCTGCGACAGACTTACCTGGGAATCGTATAGGTATCACTTTTAAACCACTGGTTTATTTTATTTAACTACCTTAATTGCGTGCAATTCTAACTCCTTCACATAAGTAAACCCAAGTGAAAAAGACGAAAAAAGTCGCGTGCCTTCCAGAAAAACAACAAGCAACAACAACAACGGTTCCGCTATTCCGTTGTTGTTCTGTTTTTTAGGCATGTCCCGTTTGGTCTATGCATCTTGCACATAAAAGCAGGGTATTTATAGACATATCCGACAGAAACCTATTATTTTAAATGGTTGTTTTATCATTTACGAACAATGTCGCATTATTCAAAAGGCAAGGGTGCACAATAGTCTATATATTTTAGTTTCTGGGCCTCCTTCCCTTCACACGCACTTTTCCGTCTGAGACATGGCGAGAGGGGGAGAGCCCAAAATTACTTTTTGTGCGTTCTGTTTGCGGACCCGACTGAGAGCGCGTCGCTTTGCTGCCGTTGTGCTCAGCTCTGCCGGCGTCGCTGGCTGCTCTGCTGACGTCGCAGTCGGCTTCGTGATGATTGGGCGCTTAACTCAAATGTGGAACTGCAGGGAAGTGTAAATATATGTGTAAGTATGTGTGTAAGTCTTTGGTGTCGGCAACCGATGTTTCGACAGAGCTACATCCTAATTGTTGTTGACGCTGCACTTTCTGGTTGGAATGGGCGGCCACTGACCGATCGTTGGCCGCCGTCCAGGGTAGGGGGGGTCCGTAGGCACAACCTACAACAAAGCTTTGCAGTCAATCAGTCCACAATGAAGAGAGCTGCATGATTTGTCACCTAAGACCACATCGATTTAGTCGTGTAGCCGGTTTTAGAATATAAGTCCCAAGACGCGGCGCCTAGCTATTATTCAATTAGAAGCATGTACAAATTGCTTGTCTACGGCTTATAAGGTTGAAGGCTGTGAATCACTGGCCGCCCGTCGAGTCTGCCAACAACGGCATCATTTAATGTTATATAAAGGTGTACATCCGATCTTGAAACACTATTAAAAGTATTTATTATTCCCAACTTCATTACAAAGCAACCCTCAGTTCCGATTACAATCGATCTTTTCATCCTCGAGGAACTGAAGTAAGCAGATCCAGACTTTCAACAAACAATTTTGGGGCTGGACAACATCCCTGCTTAAAGACGTGTCTTAAACTAGGACTTATTTAACCTCTGACTGAAGGCACAAGAAAGAAACCTTTTGTGCACCAGAAATCAAACCTATTTAGTGAGCTAACGAAAGATGAAAAGCCGGTCAATGTCGTCCAACTTGATAAAGGTGATATTCATACAAATACCCGATCTTGCGAACAAACAAAAGATAGAAAACGGCTGAATGAGAATGGCCAAGGGCTGACCGTCATCACACCTAAATTGAGGGTACCTCTCAGTGGGGGAAGAATGTTCGTAACCAATGTTTCTCAACACCACTAGCACCCAACAAATAAAGCAGTGTCAGCCGAGCCAATTACTCAAACTGTTAACGTAACCAATATTCTCTAGAACACAACTCGGGTCACTAGCCATATCCGTCTGTCAATACCTACGAATTTACCAACAAATGATTTTACAACTCTACCCAGCAAGGACATCGTCAATAGTATAAATATTCTTGATCAGAATCACTATCCGTGTCAATCTAGCCATGTCCGTCTGTCCGTGTGAACATTGTGATCTCGGAAATTATAAGTGCTAGAGAGTGGAGATTTCAGATTTAGATTCTTTAGCTTCGTAAGCAGCGCAAGTTTGTTGAGCGAATATTCAACGCCCACAAGCCACCCAAAACTGTGACACCTACAACTTTAAACCTAATAAAAATATGGCACTGAAATGTGTTGATCTCGTCAATTCTACAGTTTTGATGCTAGAATAAAAAAATTAATTTCATATACTTTCATTTGCTCTAAGTTGGTAAGCTTAAAAAGACACTCGCCTAATAGTTTTTAATAGTTTCCAAGACCGACGGAAATGACTAGGTTAGTCACCCCTAACAGGAATATATGTACTTTATGGGGTCGAAAATGATTTCTTCTAGCTGTTACATACTTGTCTTTCGGCACAATATACGCTATTACTCTAAAAGTAAAGGATGTTAAAGAAAAATTTACACTTTTACTTTAACTTCTGCCAAGCCCAACTTCTGTAAAAATAAATAGAAAGTAAATATCAATACCTTTCGATCGATGTACCACTTGTTTCGATCGGACCTTCGTGGCAGATTTTCAATTTTGCGACTTTATGCGTAACACTCTTTGTGCGATTCTTCACTATCTTGCAAAGCAATAATAGGTATTTATAATGGTGTTCCATAGTCTTCAACTAAACATGAAATGTTTCTTATAGTCAACTGAACCATGTTGCTCAAAAACTTATAAATATATCAAACGAGGAGAAATTTCAAAGAATAACGGCCTGAGAAAAGAAAGAAATCGAATGCGTCACAGGAAAAAAATATAATGTACATGCTTATAACTTTTAAATTAATGGTTCGATTTAAACAATTTGTGGTATATAGATCGGTTTTGATATATACAATTATCATTATATTTAGATCAAAATCCCATTTAAACATTTACAAAATAAAACAAGAAAAGAAGTTAACTTCGGCAAGCCGAAGTTTGTATACCCTTGCAGTTATAATTATTAAATTTAAAAATACAAAAATATTATATTCCCAACAATATAAGACAATATGTCAATAAACACCGACGCTGTAATTTGTTTCATATTATTTTCCCACCAGTTTTCCGATCGTTCCTATGGCATCTATATGATATAGTCGTTCGATTTTGATAAAATTAAATACGAAGTTCAGAACTAATTAAAAAATGTTATTTCCAAGCGTAGGTTATATTTTAAAAAACATCGAAGCTATAATTTGTTTCATATTATGTACCCACCAATTTTTCGATCACTCCTATGGCAGCTATATAGTCTTCCGAGTTTGATAAAATTAAATTCGAAATTCAGAACTAATTAAAAAATGTTACTTCCGAGCGAAGGAGCTTATATATTAAAAACACCAAGGAAATAATTTTTATACCCGTTACTCGAAGAGTAAAAAGGTATTCTAGATTTGTCGGAAAGTATGTATCAAGCAGAAGGAAGCGTTACTGACCCCATAAAGTATTTATATTCTTGATCAGGAATACTAGCCGGGTCGATCTAGCCATGTCCGTCTGTCCGTGTGTTTGTTCGTCCGGATGAGCGCTGAGATCTCGATTTAGTATGCAGATTCCAGAGCTTCCTACACAGCGCAAGTTTGTTTCAGCAATGGGCCACGCCCACAAGCCGCCCAAAACTTTGGCTCCTACAGTTTTGATGCTAGAATAAAAATTTAAATTGTAATGTATTGTTCTCATCAAAATCTAACGATTGACCCAAAAAAAAGTTTGCCACGCCCACAAACCGCTTACAAAGTTCAAAAAATCGTAAAGATGAACGCGGATATCTCGGAAACAATCAAAGATAGAGAATTGGGATTTCAGATTTAGATTCCGTAGCCTTGTACGCAGCGCAATTTCGTTACGTGAATCTGCCACGCATATGTATTAGTCTCGTCAATACCCATCGATTGACCAAAAAAAACTTGCCTCGCCCACTCTAACTTTTGGGAACTGAGAGACTAGTTTGCGCAGAAGCGGACAGACAGACATGGCTAGATCGACTCGTTCAGTGATGCTGATCAAGAATATATATGTACTTTATGGGGTCGGAAATGTCTCCTTCACTGCGTTGCAAACTTCTTACTGAAATCATAATGCCATCTGCAAGGGTATAAAAATATGGGGGCTCGAGACAGGATTTTTCGTTATGGGCGTCCGTCCGTCGGTATAACGCTGAGACCTCGGAAACTACAATAGCTAGACGGTTGGAATCTGGCATGCTTAACGATCTTGTGTAGGTGAAGTTTATTTCAGCAGCTTGCCGCGCCCATTTTAACACCCACAGCCGCTCACATTTTCAAAGATTTTGTAGTAGTGTAAATTGGATTTTATTTTGATTAAAATTATTGATTATTGAATTTTATCGATACTCATCTACATTCTTAAATTCGAATCGGACCATTCATAAAGAGAGCTGCTTATTTTGTGCATACATATCATCAACTCCTTGCACTCGCTTTAGCTGAGTAACGGGTACCTAGTAGTCGGGGACGTCAACTACAGCGTTCTTTCTTGTTTTAGTTTTAATTGTTCCTCTTAGCAGATACAAACCAGGGAGAACGCTATGTTCGCGTGCCTCGACTTTTAAGGTGGCTCGACTTGAACGATTGGAAAATAGGTAGATAAATATTGATAAACACTACGAAATCAAAACAAAAGATATTTATAAAACGGATCTTTTTTGTTATAGTCATTTTTTCCGAAAACTTAATGGTTTTCGAAAAAACCTAAAAGAAATATTTAAAATAGGATGTGAACATTTAAAAATATTGAAATATCCCGTCATAAAAAAGGCGTCAGATAGTTTTGATTAATCGATAACAGCATTTTAGGTGATGGACCTTTTCCGACTTTTTTTTACAAAATATCGTGTTTATGTTCGCGATGCGATTTTTGTTTAAAAAAATTTTTGCTTGCTTATTAGAAATGCTTTTCAACATTTGCTTATACTTTTCATTTAGACTTTATTATTTTATTTTCGTGTTCTTAAACATCGAGTGACATCGATATCGATATTGACACAGCGATATCGTGCGATATATCGGGCAAAATGACGCAAGTGTGCTCAAACGGTTAATTATTTTCAAACCTTGTGAAAATTAAATCTTATTTAGCGATTTATAACGAAAACTATTAGTTTTACAGAGTAAATGTATAAAACATAAATTACTCATTTCTTTAATAGCTCTCATTTCTCCCCGGCAAACTTTTTAGCTAAGTTAATATATTCGAATATATTCACGAAAAACAGTTTTTTACCGTTATTTTCCATAGTCCCGTTATTTGCGACAACTTTGACTATTTTTCCCGTAATCAGGACCCCAAATAACGTGGATCTTGAAAGTTTGGGCGAAATCGGGCGTTACCCGATTTTTGGTTAAACGGCTTTAATGATTGTTTTTAATTAACTATAACAAAAAGTTGCGGCAAATAAGGCATTGCCTTTCAAATTTAAAATTTATTACGAAATAATCCAATATATCACTGCTTTTACCGACACAAATCGAACGAAATGCACGCGTCGCTGGTCAACAATAAACATATATCACAAGTTCTATCAAAAACTTAACTAAAACAAGGAAGAAAACTATAGTCGATTACCTCGACTATCAGATACCCGTTACTCAGCTAAAGGGACCAAAGGGAAATGGAGATATGCAAGCAGCAAAGCGAGATTGAAATGCGCCACCTACCAGTGATCTCAATATGTGGTTATGTTGACGGTAGACAGATTTAAGCGTTATGCGCAAATACAAAAATTTTGTATCTTGCATGAAAATTGTGGGCGCCACAGGCTTGGGCGGTTTGTGGGCGTTAAAGTGGATACGAAATCTAAATCTAAGATCCCATTTCTTTATCTTTTATAGTTTCCGAGATACCCGTGTTCAAATGTACGATTTTTTGAAGTTTGTGGGCGGTTTGTGGGCGTTAAAGTGGGCGAGGTCAATCGATAGGTATTGATAAGAACAATACATATAACCTAAAATTTTTATTCTAGCATCAAAACTGTAGGAGCCACTGTTTTGGGCGGTTTGTGGGCGTTAGGCACATTTCTGCAACAAACTTGCGCTGCGCAGGAATCTCAGGAATCTGCATGCCTAATCCCAGTATTGAAGCTCTTATAGTTTCCGAGATCTCAGCGTTCATACGGACAGACAGACAGACGGACATGGCTAAATCGACTCGCCTAGTGATCCTGATCAAGAATAGATATACTTTATGGGGTCGGAAACGCTTCCTTCTGCCTGATACGTACTTTCTACGAGTAACGGGTATAAAGTGTACAGTCGAGAACAACTCAACAACAATTTGCATTGTGAGCTGAAACAAAAAAAAGTTCAATGGAATTGTTGTTGGCTTGGCTCGCGCTCATCTGTTATGGACAGTGACACAAAGAAGAATCGAAGTGCGCCCTGTTCAATTTGGGCATGTGACCACAGGCATGATTTGTGACTTTACAAAAGCGAACGTGACCCGCGTGCTTATGGGCTGAGCATCCCTGTTTTAGAGTTATGGGCGATCAGAGTCAAATTTTAGTCAAAATTTATATTCTATCACTAAAACTGTAGGCGCCACAGCTTTGGGCGTTTGTGTGGGCGTGGCACTTTGCTAAATCCAAACTGCAACTTATATATATAAATATTATATAACATTGAGCTAGAGTCAACGATAAATTTAAAGTTTGTTTCTTAAGAGAGAGTTGAAAATTTGCGGTCTGCTTCACAGATTTAATTAAATAAATAAAATAGCATATTTTTACAAGTCCAAACAGAAAACTATTTACCATCATTATAATATTTAGCAAAATATAGCTGTTCTTATAGATAAATGATGTAATATCAAAAACCATATAAAAAAACTGTTCCAGCATTGAAGATTCCGTGTAAGTCAATATTTCTTCATGCTTTTCCTTAAGATGTTGAGAATTTGCATAAATATCATAGGGCTTGGGTACCAAATTCATACGAATTGTATTGGACCTTAGCTCATATTGTGAACGGTTTATAAGGCTTAGAGTTGATGCAAAATAAGCCAACATTAAAGCAATAGGGCTTAGATATGAATCAAAACTCAATTCACTGTTTATCTCCAGTAGTTTTCCATTATTATTATCATTTAAAAGATGGATTAAAACTTCCATTCCCATAAACCTGTAAACTTATTTAATTACAGATTATGAGTCTTTCTCATGCGGTTATTGCACGGCATTATTCACCTCATTCATTAGAGCAGTGGTGCTCACACAAATAAAAAGAAATATAAGACTTGTAGATGGGTGTGTATTCCGAGGTCCCATACCGAAGGCGCACGATCGTTTGCAGTGTCGGTGTAAGCAGAGCGTCGGCAGGGAAATCTCAAGACTCGCTAATCAGGCCAGTTGGCACTATTGTACTAATGTATTTATTAAAGGCTTAGAATGAAAGAAAAATATATATTATTTACTTGGACTTTTTTTGAACGAAAGGCAAGGTCACTTTAACCTTTAAACGTCAACTTTAAACATTATAGCTCAAATAATTTTAGTAGCTGATTTTCTTGTTCGAAGATTTTAAAATTAACTTATAAATAGGTTTAAAATTGGCGGCTGATAATAGTGTTTTGCCGTAAAATCCGACACTTTTATTATGACTTTAAAATGTATTGGTGCTGAAAAAGCTTGTAGGTGTTTTTAGTTGTATTGTATCGGTGGAGTTTTTTTTTATGCTCATAAAGTTTTGTCACTATTTATAAGTAGCATCGTTATTGGTCGCAACAGATTAATTAAGACACTAATGTATTAGTTTTGATTTTCTTATTAGCTTACAGCTCTAAATTGTCTGCAAGGACAAGTTTTTATTCGTAAGCTAATTTTTTTTTTAGTTTTTATACTTGATCCTATTTTTACAGCAGCTGACCTATCGGTTTTGATAGTAGAATCCTATAGTCTGAGATAGAATTGCTCCAGTGAATAAGCCGAACAATGCCTTTGAATACCCACATCAATAAACATTTTTTGAAGAATCTTCAAAGTACTTACCTGGTCCATATTGTATTATAATTATCTGATTGTTGCAGGACTGATAGTTGAAAAGCAAATAAACATGTTACATGTACCAAAAGTGCAACAATCATAAAAATCAGAGGATAGTACATACCCCTGAAATAAATAAATATTACGTGTTAGTTCAATTTAAAGCGGAATATTCACCGGTGCAGTTGGCGATAAAGCGCCCAATAAGTGCCAGCTATGATGAACATTAAGAAATATAGGCTTCCAGGCAATGATGGTCTTAAAGTTGCAGCAAAGTAAATCACAATAAGGGTAAAAAAAGGTGCTGTAGATCAAAATAATACATATGTTGTCTTTTTTTTGATATTTCAAGCTCACATGTCTTTAAAACGGATTGAATATACACAATGATTAACTGCCGATTCATTTCAGAAATTTTCAATACACCTCTTAGCTCCTTACTTTCCTTACTGATAGCATAGCTATCATCCAAAAAAAGTTTCTTTTGTCTTTTATTGTATACCTTAGAATAAATGAAATAGACGATTGTTTCCAAAAGAACAAAAATATCAGGAAGTATCCAGTGCGCAATAGAACCAAAACTAAAATATACGGTTATTTTTAAAATAGGAAATGGATTAAAATGTTACCTCAGTCCATTAAAATACAAGAACCCAATTTGTCGTAAGATAATCGTAATTGACTTTTTGGAGCTTAAGTCAATAAAAAATAAATTTATCAAATTAATTAAAAGGTGGCCGATTAGGCAAAGTGTACCTATAACACAAAGAAAAATCATAAATGCGTTTAATAAAGCTTGTTGCCTTAAGCTCTTGGTTTGCAGAAGCCAAGGTGACACAAAAAACAACATAAGATAAAAAAAAGATATTCCAACCGGTCGCACCAATGACACTACACGATTAAAATAACAAATCATTATTTTTAATAAATATAATATATAAAATGCTTACCAATTATTAATGTAAATGGCAAAAAAAAGCGGACTAAAATAAATAGCACTGTATCAGCCATATTAGTAAAATTATTCGAATTGGTTGACAGTAAAGCAATGGCTATCTTCAAAATTAAACAACTCAGTGACTCAGTAAAAGTTGATATCAGAACTTTTGTTTGTTGAAGGTGGGATCGTCCCTAGATTTTTACGTCGCTAAGAGGTGATTTTGTTAGATTAACCTAATCGGCATTAGATAATTGAAATTGGTAGTTTACTGGAGAGAAAGAGGGGGAGACAAAAAGAAGAAGTTGCTTAAATTGTTAATTAAGCAATAGCCGCTCATTTTGCTCTCTCTTTGCGCCGTTCAGTTCATTATAGGGGACAACCGGTTTATTACAAACATGACGCGCTGTAATAGTAGATTCCGGATCACAGGTGAGTCTTATCTCAAGGAGGATGGCAATACTAAAGCTTTCGTCGTGTACATCTAGTTTTGAAACACTAGTAGAAGTATTTATTGTTACCAACTTCATTACAAAGCAACCCTCAGTACCGATTACAATCGATCTTTTCATCCCCGAGGAACTGAAGTAAGCAGATCTAGACTTTCGGCAACCTGAACCCATTGACTTAAATTTGGGGGCTGGACAATATCACTGCTTAATGACTAAGTGTCTTAGACTAGGCCCTAATAATCCTCTGACTCAAGAAAGAATCCTTTTGTGCTACAGAAATCAAACCTATTTAGTAGAAAAGGTAGAGATCATGCAGGACCTAATCCGCCTCGTGAGCTAACGAAAGATGAAAATCCGGTCAATGTCGACCAACTTGATAAAGGTGGTATTCATAAAAACACCTAATCTTGCGAACAAACAAAAGATAGCAAACGGCTGAATGAGATCTTTCTTAATACAGAAAGGATTCATTTAACGAACCTTGAAATTATGGAGCCGGAAGTAGCCAATCATAAACTATTGAAACTTACTCCTCCGAACGAAAGTCAACTGCTACAAATATTGGTTTCTTGAAGCCAAGATTTCTCAATTTTGTATGAAATCTCGATTTTTAACCAAAAACATCTAAGCTTTCCCTTCAGTTCTGCATTAGGGACGCGGTGACATGGCTCAAGGCAAAAAGCTTTTTTGTTTTTTTTTGTGCCTAAAACGCTGTGCCGCTGTTGACGTCAGCAGAGAAGTCGGCGCAGTGTAGAAGACTGCCTACGAAAACGATCGTGCAACAAAGAGAGGCAGATATTAGGAGCTTCCCTCTCTTTCTTTGTCTTATAATCTGCCTGCACTCGGCGCTCTCAGAGACAAATTTCGGCAGGTCCGTTATTTCTTTTGAGTCTCTCCGTTATGTCCGGCTAGCGACTAATGTTTCGGCGGAAAAATTTCGCCCTAATATTTTAGGAGCATTATTGTATATCGAAAAAAAAAACAACTAATATTGTTTTATAAAAGTAAATTATTTGATTATAGTAAAATTAAGTAAATTGAATTTACTTTTAATGTTATGCTTACGTATTATACATTAATATTACAATATAATTTTTTAGTTAAGTTATAGAAATTTAGTTCGTTAAAATTTATTGAAATATTTAAAACATTTTAATAGTACCATTTTTGAAGAATTCCTTTTTATTATTTTTACTAAAAAAAGTAAAAGTTATGTAGTCGGATATTTTTCGCTTTTGAAAGGGTATAGGTGCAGTGGCACGCGCCTACTGCGAAGAGAAAACAAAAGAAATCATTCATTCTGTTTGAGTTATTGAAAGGGAAGCAAGCCATTTAAATTGTGCGCAGAAGATTTACTTCTTTCGTTTTTTAAAGTGAAAATAATAAAGTCAGGTAAGTGTTTCATTAAGTTGAAGATGTTGTGCATTGATCTTAGTTTAAAGTATTAAGGTATTCAATGGGTTCCGTAAGCCGAAAGTGGATGATGAAATGTTTTGCGCCAATAAAAATCCTGCAAAGGGTGTAAACACAGCTCTAAAAGGTAAATATGCAAATAAACAAATAAAACGCATTTTTTAAGCATATGACCATAAATTTTATCAGGAGCGTTGGCCAAGGATTCGGAGGACCCGGACAAAGGTTTAAGGAAGGCGATGACCAATGTAAAAAGCAAATTAACGTAACATAAAATTAGGCTTACTAACAATAATTGTTCTTTAACCTAAAACCTAAATAACATTATTTAATTAAAATATATTTAAAAGTATATACAAATTTATGTATTTTAAATTCTATAAGTAAAAAAAATGTTGATTTTCACAAGTGATTTCACTTGGGACGTGTCACTTGCAAGTGATTTCATAAGTGAAAACTCATGGAAAAAATTTGATTTTCACAAGTGATTTCACTTGGGACGTATCACCGGCACGTGATAGGCCATACGAAAAATGAGTATAAGGAACAAGTGAAATCCCGTGGGACTTCGAAAAATTTTCATTTGAATTTTCACTTGTGAAAATGCGGACATCCCATACAATTTTCTATATGGAGCGTCACTTGTTCTTCACTTGTGCAAGAGGACATGTCCCACGGGATTCACAAGGTGATTCACAAGTGAAACTTTTTTTTTGGAACTGAAGGGTTGTTGCAGGAATTCCACATACTATAGGCATGCAAGTTATCCAACCAGTGAAACGGTTCCACTTATGGAATTTATAAACAAATTATCGAATTCAATTTCAACTATGTTTCTTGCCTTTGTTAAAGATTCTGCCTTACTTCGAGGGCCGCGCTTGACCGTCCTGCTAAGATAAATAAACCAATCGTAAAGTAAACACAACCTTCCGTTCGAAGCCCAAACTCTTTCGTTCAAAGCCCACAGTATTGCGTTCTTAGTTCAAATCATATTGCGTTTCGATTTTCAATCAAATTGCATCGGTCAGCATAATTTCATTTCACAACGAGATGCGAGTTTCAGCATAAGCTTTTATTCTAAACATAAATTAAAGTTCTGAAAGCTTAAGAAAGAAAAGCTTTTGGCCGAGGTTCATTGGATAAATTTTTAGAATTAAGAAGGCAGTCCTATTTTGTCCGAGACCGCGATCGGTTCACAAGTTCTAAAAGCGTCTTGTATTAATTGTGTATTAAGAATAAAGGTTTAACACCCGAGTTTTAAAATAATTAATAAATTTTTTTAAATCATCTACAAACGACGAATTTTTTTGGCGCCCAACGTGGGGACGCGTTAAAAAAATTCCAAAGATTGTTTAATGGAAAATAAGTTAAATATAAACGGAGCTCGCGTGGCCAACAACTTAACATTTCCAGTGGAGAAATTAAAAAATCCGCCAAACAACACAACAAAGTGACAGTGATCGTTAACAACAATTAAATGGAAATTAGTAAATGAAATAATCCATTTAAAGGTGAATTAAAACCTTAAACCAAAAAAAATACAAGAACACGAAATAAAGCAAAAAATTATGTAAAACAGAAACGAACTAAACTAAAACATTTAAACAAACAAGCTCTGACAACAACAACAAAATCACAACACGCCGAAACAAGAAAAATCAAAGAAGGAAGGAAGGGCATTCTATCGCCATTAATCTTACTGAATCCAGGACGGAAGATCAACCCACAACCTCACAGAAGGAAGACCCCATCGGTACAGTCTCGTGAGAAATTAATTTTCAATAATAAAAAATTAAAGATTATAATTTAAGATCAGGGAATTTAAGAAAAACAAGGAAGAACGCTATAGCCGAGTACCTCGACTATCAGATACCCGTTACTCAGCTAAAGTGACCAAAGGGAAATGGAGATATGCAAGCAGCAAAGCGAGATTAAAATACGCCACCTACCGACGGTAGACTGATTTAAGCGTTATGGGCGTTAGAGTGGGCGTGGCAAATTTCTTTTGGATCAATTGATAGGTATTGACAAGACCAATACATTTCATGAAAAGTGTGGGCGTCACAGGCTTGGGCGGTTTGTGGGCGTTAGAGTGGGCGTGGCAAACTTTTTTTTGGGTCAATCGATAGGTATTGATAAGAACATAACACTTCAGTTAAAATTTTTATTCTAGCATCAAAACTGTAGGACCCACAGTTTTGGGCGGTTTGTTGGCGTGGCACATTGCTGAAACAAACTTGTGCTGCGTAAGAAGCTCAGGAATCTGCATGCCAAATCTCAATAGCCTAGCTCTTATTGTTTCCGAGATCTCAGCGTTCATCCGGACAGACGGACATGGCTAGATCGACTCGGCTAGTGATCCTGATCAAGAATCTATATACTTTATGGGGTCGGAAACGCTTCTTTCTGCCTGTTACATACTTTCCGACGAATCTAGTATACCCTTTTACTTTACGAGTAACGGGTATAATAATATAAGATTTAAACGTTGATAAAAAGTCAGATAGATTTGCGATTTAATAAAAAATATCGAGAAACAATCTCGAAGATTTAATAAATAGCTTTGGTGAAATAAATTTAACAATGACAACCAGAGGCTCAGCACCAAATTTATCTGCAGGTAGTATAGCCACAGCAGGCGGCCTAACAGTGGAATTAATAAATAGACTGATAAATGTTCAATTAAATGAAGTGAGCAGGAAAATATAAGGTTTAGAACAGATGCAAACACTGTGGAGGATTATTTAATACAAGCAATCGACTCAACTATATAATGCGATACAACACTTGAAGTGGTAAAATCTTTACCGAAATTCACGGGGGATCCAACACAATATGTAGGTTGGAGGGAAGCCGCAGAAACTGTAATGAGTCTCTATAAAATTCAAAGTGAACAATATTTTATCGCCTTAACAATTTTACGAAATAAAATTTTGGGAGCTGCGCATGATGCTCTTACCAATCATGGCACCGTTTTAAACTTTCGAGCAATCTTATCTAGATTGGACTTTATATATAGCGATAAACGACCAATACATATTCTCGAGTCAGAACAAAGTATCCTCAGGACGAATGACAGTTACAGAATACTATAATGAAGTCAATAAAAAATGACACTACTAATAAACAAAACCGTAATGACATACGGAAACAAACAAAACAATAAGGAGCAATGCTTTACGAATATTAATATCTGGGCTTAATGGATCTATCTTAGAAACTCTTTTCTCAATAAATCCACCAGATTTACCCAATGCTTTGGCAAAGGTCCAAGAATAAGAATCAAACAATTTCCGTGCTCAATTTGCAAACAGATTTAATGGATTTAAAAATGAAAAAAAAAATATCAGGGAAACAACTTACGATTTGATCAAAAACGACAGAACAATAATACTTATAAAATGCGAAATAATTGGAGTAATAACCAGA